AAAAAAAAAAAAAACCGCCCCCCTTGGAGGTTGCAGCTGCTCCTAGTTTTTTTTTGTTTTTGTTTTTTGTCGGTCCTGGGGCCTGAACTCTGGGCCTGGGCGCTGTCCCTCAGCTCTTCAGCTCAAGACTAGTGGCCTACTACTTGAGCCTCAGCACCACTTCCCGCATTTTCTGTGTCTGTGGTACTGAGGAATCAACCCAGGGCTTCATGCGTGCTAGGCAGGCACTCTACCACTAGGCCACATTCCAGCCCCTGCTCTTAGTTCTAAAGGAAGGAGGACAGGGTTGCAGACTAACTAATAAGACTCCTTTGTCACCTTTAACCGTGCCTGCCTGCATGGATTTTCTTGCTCGCAGGTCGTTATACCGACCTCTCTCTTGGGGCCGATGCGAGGCAGACTCCTTCGTTCTCGTACCGGGAGGGGTGGGGGAGTTCTCAAGCATGCACACTGCCTCAAGGAGGGCTCAAGTCTCCCCACTCTCCCACCCCCCCTCCCCGCCACCGCCCGCGGCGCTGTGCCCTTCCACATCCGGCCAGTAGGTGGCGCGCCTCGCGCCGCAGATAGGCCTCCGGAGCCAGCTAACCACCAAGAGGTGAAAACCTCCGAGGTTCCTAGAGAGACCACGTGGGTGTGGGGGGGGAGGGGGGAGGCGGAGGGGAAAGGATGGTGCAAAGGACGACCCGGAGGCGAAAGGCGGGAGCTTCCGTTCTTTGTTCTGTCCCCAGTGCGTGGGTCCGAGGCAGGGTCCAGCGGGGCCTGGTCCCGGCCCCAGGGTGAGTCCCGGGGGGTCGTGAGTGGGCGGAGGGAGGTGCTGGTCCGGGGCGGCCCGGGGCGGGGTGCGGGGGTCCCCGCTTCCCTCGGGGCCCCCCCGGGGGGCCCTGCGTGTCGAGGGCCCTGGTTCTGGTCGCAGCTCCCAGAAGTTGTTCCTGGGTGGCGGCGCTTGAACTCGGTGCCTGCCCTCTGGTTTCTTCCTCCAGGCGAGCGCTCTACCGCTTGAGCCACAGCTCCACTCCCAAGTTTTTGGTGTTCATTAGCAATAAGTGTCTCCCCGACTTTCCTGCCCTGGCTGGCTTTGAACCACGATCCTCAGATCTCGGCTTCCAGAATAGAGAGGCCGAGTTTACAGGAATGAGCCACCAGCATCTGGCCATTTGTGGGGCTGGGAAGGTGGCTCAGTGGTAGAGCGCTTGCCTTGCATGCCTGAGGCCCTGGGTTCGATTCCTCAGCACCACATAAGCAAAAAGAAAAAAGCTGGAAGTGGCGCTGTGGCTCAAGTGGTAGAGTGCTAGCCTTGGACTGCAGAGCTGAGGGACAGCACCCAAACCTAGAATTCAGGCTCCACAACCGACAAAGAAAGAAAAAAGAAGTGTTTATTAACCTACATGGGCTTCCCCTTTGTTCTAAGTATCTAGATTAGAAATAAAGTTGACACAGTTGTTTCATTTTTCATTCAGCATTGGCATTAACCGAAGTCAGAAGTGCCAGGAACTGAACAGAGTCTGCCACATTCTACTTTGGGTCTTCTGAGGACTGACTCCAACGAAGGAAGAAAAAAGGGGTCAACAGGTAAATTTTGCACTGCCCTCTTCACTTCCTGGTGGTCTGTCATTAGTTCCCATGAGTATCTCTAAGGTGTGGGCTTGGCAGCAGGGCAGGGGAATGGCCTTGCCTGGACCTGAAACTGAGGGGTGCAATGAAGAGTTTCTTTCAGTGAGTAAAATTATTTTCTCATGCCAACATTGGCAATTTGTTCTCAACAATATGCCTTTGAGTTCCAGCTTTGCTTGAGCCTATTGTGAGGGGGCCATGGCCTGCCTTTTACTTGCCTCTCTGAAGAGGGGGTTCTTTTGTGTGTGTGCTTGTTCGGGGGCTTGACCTCTTACATTCCACTTAGTGTTAACCTCTCATGGTTGGTACTCTACCATTTGAGTCAAATTCCATCAGGCTTTTTGCTGGTTAACTGGAGATAAGACTCATGGATCTGGGGTTGGAAGGTAGCTCAGTGGTAGAGTGCTTGCCTTGCATGCGCAAGGCCTTAGGTTCAATTCCTCAGCACCACAAGAGCAGAAAAGATGGGAAATGGCACTGTGGCTCAAGTGGTAGAGTGCTAGCTGAAGAGCTGAGGGACAGTGCCCAGGCCCAGAGTTCAGTCCCCTTGCAGACATTTAAAAAAAAAATCATGGATTCGTCTGCCCAGGTTGGCTATGAATGCAGTCTTCAGATGTCAGCCTCCTGAGTAGCAGGGATGACAGGCGTAGCCACCAGGACTTGGAGCAGTCTGACTTTTTGTGCTTACAGTTACCAAAGTGTTGATGTGGGTGCCAAGGTGGGGTATCATGGGAACCTCGGGCAGTTTTTTGTGGTCCTCTTATTACAGAGGCTAGTCTTTTCTCTGCCTTCCCTGGGTAGTACCGGAAGTGCTAGCTGCCTGTCTATCTGTGAACTTTGAACTCTTGCTTCTGCAGTGCTTCCTCATTCTCAGAGCCTGTTTCCTGCCAAGTCTGCACATGAAGAGATTAACTGAGTGCCCAGCCCGACCCATGGAAACTCAAGCTGATCATGTACCTCAGGAACCTCAGGCCTTGCTGGAGAGTGGTGAGAATAGGGGTCATTCTTTAGACAACTTTCTAAAGAAAAAATTGTGAAAACTCTGGCTCCTTCTGCCTCAGCCTCCCAAGTGCTGGGATCGTAGGTGTGTACTGCCATACAGGGCCTCTTCCATCCTTTTATTCAGTCAACCATCTATTGAAATCCTTCCCTCATCGGGTATTGCCTGACTAGTAGAATCCAGATGGGCATAAGGCACTGAAGTAACCCAGCTTAGTGGGAGGATACTGACTCTACTTAACCATTAATTCTAATTAATGTCAGCCTGATAGTTTTTTACAACTGGCACATTTTGGAAGAGTAGTGGCTTGTTGAACAAGATTAAGAAAATTTAGGGGTTGGGGCATGTCTCTGTTGTTAAGAGCACTAGCAAAGCATCAGGTACTAATACTAAGTTCAAGTCCTGGTCTTGAACCTAAAAAAAGAAAACTGATATCTCTTTGAATTTTTCAGGAATTCTTCAACAGCCAAGTTCAATCATGATTGTTCTTTTTGTTTTTGTTTTTTTGTCGGTCGTGGGGCTTGAACTCTGGGCCCGGGCTACAGCGCCACTTCCGGTTTTCTGGTGGTTTATTGGAGATAGGAGTCTCACAGTCTCTCCTGCCCGGGCTGGCTTTGAACCGCGATCCTCAGATCTCAGCCTCCTGAGTAGCTAGGATTACAGGTGTGAGCCACCAGCGCCCGGCATCATGATTGCTCTTCAAAATAGCTTTGAGAATAGGCTCTTGGGGATCATACTGTGGATCAGAAGCAGGGATGCATAGGAAGCCACTAAAATATATTGTGCTTTTTCTTCATTTTTATTGGTAGTACTGCGGCTTGAACTCAGGGTCTTGTGCTTGCTAGGCAGGTACTCTTACCACTTGAGCCATGCCCTAATCTCCTAGTTTTAGAATTACCTTGAAAAGCAAATCATTTAAGGCCGTTTTTGGCAGGTCAAGTATGGTCTGGTGGTTTTGCCTCTAAAGACAGACATGGGAACTTAAGACCTGGAGGAGTTGTATGCACTGTCACAGAAACAGACAACACTTGTAGAGCATAGATTTGATCTGCAAATGGAGAACAAGGATGATAGCTGTGGGCTTTCTAACAGGGATGGGGAAAAAAAGCTGCTGCTGCTGCTGCTGTTTGTTGTGATGCAAGAGCCTGAGGTGGTGGTAGGGACTTGTAGCCTGTTCCAGGCCCAGGTTGGGGGCAGGAGGTGACAGGAATACAGGAGGCACTGTGGTTCATGCCTATAATCCCAGCTACTCAGGAGGCTGAGATCTGAGGATTATGGTTCAAAACCAGCCTATGAAAGTCAGTGAGACTCTTATCTCCTGTTAACCAGCAAAGAACTGCAAGTGGAGGTGTATGGCTCAAGTGTAGAAAACCAGCCTTGAGCAAAAATGCCAAGCAAGATCATGGGGCCGAGTTCAAGGCCCAGTACTGACACACATCAACCAAAAAGAATACAGGAGTCATGAAAGCAGGACCTGGGTAGTTGTGTGGAGAAATGACCAGGGGCCAGAGGACCCGGACTCATCCTGGGCCCTGTTGTTCTTCAGCTATTCCTTCCTCTGAAGTTCCCGCCTTTCCTGACAAGGACAGTCTTGGAGACAAAGTGTTGGCAGCTGCATTCCTGAAGACCAAGTCTCAGGTGAGCTGTGGGGCCCTTCATGATTTCCTTCCTGTCCTGTGGAGCGCCCTAGACTGATGGCACCATCAGCACCGTGGGCCTTCCCTGCGGAATCCATCGTGGGCTCTGTCTCCTGCCTCTGACCTCTACCCACTTCCTACCAAGGGGTCGTCCCGCCCCATCCGGAAACCTGTGACTGTGTCTCTAGGAGTTGGTGACATTTGAGGATGTGGCTGTGTACTTCATCAGGAAGGAGTGGAAGCGCTTGGAGCCTGCGCAGAGGAGTCTGTACAGGGACGTGATGCTGGAGAATTACAGGAACGTGTTCTCACTGGGTGAGGAGCGCACCTTCCCTGCCCAGCTCCGCAGCTGGTGGCCTCCTCCCTTTGCTACTAGCAGTCTAGTTACTGAAAACAGTAGCTGCTGATGGAACATCCTGATAAAAGCCAGTGTAACTTACATTTATGCAGTAATTAACAGCTTGTAAAGAGTTTTTATATTTTCATTTAGCCTATCCTTGAGGTAGTTTAGAATTAACTTTGTTTTTGTTAAAGCAGTTCGGGGTTTGAACTCAAGTTTGCTAGGCAGGTGTTGTACCACTTGACCCACACACTTCTATCCACTCTCCCACTTCTTAAATTACCTTCAGATATTTGCACAAGGGGAGCTGGGTGCCAGGTCTGTAATCCTAGTTACTCAAGAGGTCTGAGATAGGACAATCATCCTGAACAGACAGCTCTGAGACTTTTTCTTTTCTTTTCTTCTTTTTTTTTTTGCCAGTCCTGGGACTTGAAGTCAGGGCCTGGGCTATGTCCCTGAGCCTCTCTAGTCAAGGCTAGCACTCTACCACTTGAGCTACAGCAACACTTCAGCTTTTTCTGTTTATGTGGTACTGAGGAATCAAACCCAGGGCTTCATGCATGCCTCATACATCCCAGCCCCAACCTCTGAGACTCTTATCTCCATTTAAGCAGCAAAAGGCCAGAAGTGGAGGTGTGGTTCAAGTGGTTGAGCACCAGCTGTGAGCAAAAAGCTGAGCTAGAGGGCAAGGCCCAGAGTTCAAGCCCAGTATCATGTGTACGCACGCACGCACACCACACATACACACACACACACACACACACACACACACACACACATCATACAAGTTAGTTTTTGAGATGGAATCTTGCTAACTTGGTGCTTTGGCTGGCCTTGAGCTGCAGTCTTTCCAGTCTCTGCTTCCTGAGTGGCTAAGGTTACATAGGCATGTACCACTATGCTGGCCCTATTCTCATTTTATGGATGAGGAAAGGGAGGTCAGAGATCTGCCCTTGTGTATAACTATATCAGAGCCTGGTGATTGTGAAGTTCTAGCCCCAGGCTTTTCACTCAAAATCGAGTTACTTGTGAGTGTGGGAGGAGGGATTTCTGAACAGGTGGGATTTTCCTGTGTCAACAAGAATGTTCTGGAACTCTTGGGTCCTCTGTTACCCCTAGGCACCTCCTGCTTTGTTTAGTACCTTGCTCTTACAGAAATGTGAACTTTTGTGAGTGTGCAGGTCCTGAGGCTTGAACTCAGACTGAGTTCTGTCCCTGAGCTTTTGTGTTCAAGGCTAGCTCTCTGTCACTTGAGCCACAGTTCCACTTAGTCTCAGACTTTATTGCTCCCACTGGCTTTGAACCACAATCCTCAGATCCCAGCCTCTTGAATAGCTAGGATTACAGGCGTAAGCCATTGGCACCTGGCCTTCCTGTTTCTTTAACCCAGTTGTCTTACTTTGCTCTAGCTCCATGCACTGGACATAAACCTCTTTGCAGGCCTGCAAGAGGCTGCACGCGCTGTTATCTTTACACACGCCAGTAACGTGAGCGCCCTGTCCTCTGACATCTGTTCCTTTTCCTACAAGGACCCGGTGACATTTCGATTTCTTATTGTCCAGATGGTGAGTCGAGAACTGAAAACGATGAAGGAATTTCCGAAGCTTCAGGATCCCATGGAATGCTATTGGGAAGATTCCAGAAGGATATCGCTCAGGGTCTTAAGTATGAAGAAGCTTATGGACAAGAACTCAGTCTCAAAAGGCAACTGGGGAACTCAACTGGTGAGAGACTGAACAGGAAAATCCAGGAGTTTGGTCAAGTGACAGCTGAGGAGAAGCTGACCCCCACAGGGGAGAGAAGCGAGAAATACAGTGAGTTTGGGAGCAGCCTCCTCTCACAGCAGCGACTTCCTACTGGGGACAGACCCCATAAGTGTGATGAATGTAGCAAGAGCTTTAACCGAACTTCGGACCTCATTCAGCACCAGAGGATCCACACCGGGGAGAAGCCGTATGAATGTAGTGAGTGTGGCAAGGCCTTCAGCCAGAGTTCACACCTCATCCAGCACCAGCGCATCCACACGGGCGAGAAGCCGTACGAGTGCCAGGACTGTGGGAAGACCTTCAGCTGCAGCTCCGCCCTCATCCTGCACCGGAGGATTCACACAGGCGAGAAGCCGTATGAGTGCCACGAGTGTGGGAAGACCTTCAGCTGGAGCTCCACACTCACGCACCACCAGCGCATCCACACTGGTGAGAAGCCCTATGCATGCAATGAGTGTGGGAAAGCCTTCAGCAGGAGCTCCACGCTCATCCACCACCAGAGAATCCACACTGGAGAAAAACCTTATGAATGTAACGAGTGCGGCAAGGCCTTTAGCCAGAGCTCGCACCTCTACCAGCACCAGAGGATCCACACTGGAGAGAAGCCCTATGAATGTATGGAGTGTGGAGGGAAGTTTACCTACAGCTCAGGCCTTATTCAGCATCAGAGAATCCACACAGGGGAGAATCCCTATGAATGTAGCGAGTGTGGAAAAGCCTTCAGGTATAGCTCAGCGCTTGTCCGCCATCAGAGGATTCACACTGGAGAGAAGCCTTTGAATGGAATGAGTCTGAGCAAAAATTCTCTCGGGGTTCCTGCTGAATTAAATGTCTGAGCATTTACACGAAAGAGCCACAAACCCGATCACCCGCAAGGGCTCTGGCTCTATCGACAACTTAGGGTGTGCCCTTCCGCCTCATACCTTTCACTTCAGAGAATGAAGGGGTGGGTTGGGAAAATCTTGGCACACTGACTGGCAGATGCCAGCCTTGAAAAGTTGTGAGACACAACAGATTCAGGGCTGGGGATGGAAGGAGGCTTGGGGACCAGCCACCCCTTTTTGGAAGGGTGTTTGCACTAAACCATTTTTATCACATCACAGAAGCCTTCCTTTCCAAGGTAGGGATGCAAACATACTAGAAAGGAGATTTCAAAGATTCTACTAGTTGGAGTCAGTAGAGTGAGCACAAAAAGTGGAAAGAATATTCTGGGTCCTGATTGCTAGGAAGGAGGATAGAAGCTGGATTTCAAAGCCATTGTCCTCCATCCAGCTTCAAGATTTAGCAAGGAACATGCTGCTTTGTTTTCTGATTTGGCTAATAGTACAAACTTGGTGCTGAGGGATTTAATTTATTAAGAGGAAAAAAACCCAAAAGATTTTTCTGTGATCTGTGATCTGCTCTTAGAGCAAGAAGACCCCATTTCCAAGGGCAGTCTGGCAATCCACGAGGCCCTCGTCCTTCCTGTGATAGAGGAACTGAGGAGGAAGTTCTGTGCAGTGAAGAACTTGAGGAGGGAAGAGCTTGAGCTTTGGTCTTCCCTCTGTCCTTGCCTCCTGGTATGAAAAGTGATTCTAATGGTAACCTCCTTACTAAGGATGCTTTCAAAGAGCCCACTCAGCCAGCAGACCCCCTGCTCTGTCCCTTCTAACACCTAACTGCAGCTCAATCTCTTCTGACCTCACCAGCCCAGGATTAATACAAATAGAGCAAATAAGGAAGGCACCTTGGACAAGGGTTCTTTCTCGCTGGGTTAGGATGGTGCTTCTGGAGTATTTCTGACCCAGGAGATCACCTTCTGTCACCTTCCATTTTCCACCTGCTCCTCCTGTAGCATAAATGAAATGCACTATTAAAACAATAGTTTTTCAGGAGATTGAGTGTGTTTTTGTGCAAGGGCCAAATTCCACTTAAAACAACACCAACTATTAGATTCTAAAAGAGCCTTTAAGGATTTTTACAGATAACTTCTTATGTACATAGTTACAGTCGCCTTCAAGTCACATTTAGGAGTTTGTGGTAATGCATTCTGTATGATTCAGTAGGAAAGGAAAAAAAAAAACTTGTTTGGGTAGCAATTCTCATTTTTTTGGTAGAATCTGGAGCTTATCTTTCTCTGAGTAGCTTGGACTGCAGGTGTGAGCCATTAGCGTATGGCTTACCTGCTGGTGTGAGTTTTTCCACTGCTACTGGGAGGCAAACTGGTAAACTCTTTCTGGTCACTGAATTGATTTCCAAACCAGAGTCTCAGCCAAGCAAATACAATTTCTCCTCCAGTCACCTTCTCCATTAGGTTTGTTGGTTTGTCTTTTTGCCAGTCCTGGGGCTTGAACTCAGGGCCTGGGCACTGTCTGAGCTGTTTTTGTTCAAGGCTAGCACTTTACCACTTGAACCACAGTGCCATTTTTGGCCTTTTCTGTTTATGTGAGTCTGAAGAGTTAAACCCAGGGCTTCAAGCATACTAGGCGCACACTATCACTAAGCCACATTCCCAGCACCTCCATTCGTTATTTTTGAGGTAAGGTCTCACTTTGGCCTGGGCTCCCCTTCCTTCTACCAGTGCTTCCCCATGTAGCAAGATGTGTCAGGCATGTGCCACCACATTGTCTGGTTGACTAGGGTAAACTTTTGCCTGGGCTAAGTTCCAACCAAGATCTCTCAATCTCCACTTCCCCAGTGGCTAGGGTTACAGGCTAGAGGCACTGCTCAGCAACAGTTGTTATACTTCCCAAACACATTGTTTTTTAAAAAAGAATGTGTGTGTCCACATGATAGAGACTACCTTGGGCACTGCTGGCACTTAAGTGTTAAAAGTAGGTGGGCCCTTTATGAAATGTATCAACTCAGGTTATTGGGAGAAAATAAGGACTCAAATGGACAGCCTTAGAAATGGGGTTCTCAACTAGGCGATGAGCCTGGGGTCCAGTCCCGGTTTATGATGGACCCCCAAACACTTAGTGGTAGCGTGGTTGCCTAGCAAACATGAAGCCCTGGGTTCAATTCCTCAGTACCATGTAAAAAGACAAATCGCTCCCGACACTGCCTCCAGCTCCGCTGTCTTGATACTCTCAGGCACGCCACAGGGTAACACCACTTCCGGCCCTCTGGCCCGGAGTAAAAGGTCCTACTCACTCTAGAGAGGACACCAGACACCTAGACTCAGCGCAAGTGCCTGGCTCCGCCCGCTTCCAGAAGGAGCCATCCTGGGAGGGCCCTTGAGTTCAGGGGACCTCAAGCTCCTCTAGGACCCCGGGTTTCCGACAACTTCATGATCTTACACACACACACACACACACACACACCGTCGGGGAGCCAGAAGGAAGGGGGCGCAGCAAGGCCTTACTTCGCGGCAGGCAGGACTGATCGAATATATATGCCTTAGAGGGTGAAGGGATAAAAGCTATATTCAGAATGAACCAGACTTGGCATTTTGAGCCCGCAAATTTCCAACTGAGCAGATAGAGGGTGGTGTGCAAAAAGAGTTAGAGAAACAGGGATGGCCATCGGGATTTTATAAGGGTTTGAAAAGAGAACAGCCGAGAACTGCCCAGACCTCAGGCCTGGGGAGACCCCCGACATCCCAAGTACAGCCTGCCAAGGGAGGCCTGGGGCCTTGTTTGAGACATTTCTGGGCTTCCAGAGGAAGCTTCATGTCCTGTGGCTTCAAATCAGAACTGGCAGCTCCATCTCCTTTTATTTGCGCCCGTACTGGCACTGAACTCCAGCCTCCTGCTTTCACTTGGCCTTTTCACTTAAGGTTGGTGCACATCTACCTCTAGTTTTTTATTGGTTAATTGAGATAAGACTTTCCTGCTGGAGCTGGCTTCAATGCTCAGATCTCAAGCCTCCCAAGTTGCTAGGATTACAGGCATGAGCCGCCAGCTTTACTTATTTTGTTGGTTGTGGGGCTTGAACTCTGATCCTGGGTGCTGTCCCTCAGCTCTTCTGCGGAAGACTAGTGCTCTACCACTTAAACCATGGCACCACTTCCGGTTTTCGGAGTGGTTTACTGGAGATAAGAGTCTCATGGACTTTCCTCCTCCGGCTAGCTTTGAACCTCGAACCTCATTTGTCAGCTTCCTGAGTAGCTAGAATTACAGGCGAGAGCCACCGGCACCCTGTCAGCTTTATTTTAAGACTATTTTTTTAGGGCAGATGAACGTTTACAGCAACATTGAGCAAAAGACAAAATTTCTCAGATACATCCCATGGCCACACCATAGGCAGACTTCATATACATCCAGTGTCCACACCACACAGGCATACTCCATTACCAACATCCCCACCTAAGTGATAACAGGGCCTATAATACTAACATCTATCTAAAGTCACAGATTACCTTAAGACTCAGTGGTGTACACTGCATGGATTTAGACTATAACACCAAACCGTGTAAAAATATATCATTGTGATTATACAGCTTGACTTAGTAAGATTTAAAATTTCTCCAAGCCGTTTTATGGCTTGATAATTCATTGCTTCTTAAAACCGAGTAACATACTGTCCTGACTTATCACAGGCTTATTCCCTGCCAAAGGACATCTTGGTGCTTTTGAGCACTGGGGAATAACGTACAAGTATCCATGTGCAGACCATTCTGTAGTTACAAATTTTTAGTTCCTTTGGGTAAATACCAAGGGATATGATTGTTGGGTCATACATTAAGAGCGTGTTCAGTTTTGTTAAGCTGTTTTATGATTAAGATCTTTTTTTTTGGGGGGGGGGCGTCATGGGGCCTGAACTCTGGGCCTGGGTGCTGTCCCTCAGCTCTTCAGCTCAAGGCTAGGGCTCCACCACTTGAGCCACAGAGCCACTTCCGGCTTTTTTCTTTTTGCTTATGTGGTGCTGAGGAATCGAACCCAGAGCCTCATACATGCAAGGCTCCCAGCCCCAAGGTCATTTTTGCAAAATGTCTAGTATGTGTCTATCATGGGACGTAGGTCACTAGATCTGGGGACTACAAAGATTCTGATCTTGTCAGGGACTTAAGCAGCAGTGGGTTTATTAATGCAGAAAGCAGAGCAAAGTGTGCTGTCCAGATAAGAGTGGGCAGAGGTCCCAGTGTTGGAAAACTGGGCTGTGATATTAGCTTCTGGAAATTGGATTGTACAGATTTTCATCAGCTTTATACACATAACCAAAACCCATATGAAGATGACAGCCCAATGGGCAAAAGTACACTGATGTAGAGAAAGCATGTCATTGCACCTATCACAGCCACGCCCAGCCACAGACACACACCTGTAAGTCCCTAATCGAAACGTGCCAGAAGTCCCCATCTTTAAGAACAGTCAGTTTGCTGGGCCCCGGTGGCTCACGCCTGTAATCCTACCTACTCAGGAGGTTGAGATCTGAGTATCTCGGTTCAAAGCCAGGCCGGGCAGGAAAGTCAGTGAAACTCTTATCTCTAATAAACCACCAGAAAACCGGAAGTGGCGCTGTAGCTGAAGTGATAGAGTGCTCGCCTTGAGCTGAAGAGCGCAGGGACAGCACCCAAGCCCAGAGTTCAAGCCCCATGGCTGACCAAAAAAACCCCAAAACATTCAGTCACCAACACACCACTCATCACAATAATGGTCCTGAGGCATTACAGTGCTATGTTTATTCTGAATGCAATAAACTGTCTTCAGTGTGGCTCAATTCTTTACAAATACACTTGTGGAATATACAACGTTGAAATAGTTAAAGTTTCCTCCTTAAGCTTGATTCACATCAGATTTCAACTACAGAGGCAGGGGCCCTACAAGGCCAAGTGAGCCCTAGGGCAAATGGGTGGGGTGTCAGGCTGGACTGGCCTTGGAGGACAAAACAGAGCCACAAGTGCCCTGCAGGCCTCCTGCCTAAGCGGCCGCCACAGAGCACCAGCTCTCAGGCAGCCCTGGCCACCAAGTGGCACAAAATCTATCACGAGCTGTTATTGTCTTTAGGGCTTCTCTAATATTAACCTTCTGAAGCTTACTTACAAAACTCAAACAAGAAACAAGGTGCTGGGCAGCTAGAGCCCCTGCCCCTCCCCGGAGTGGACCTTCTGGTGTTTGGAGAGGTTGGACTTGCTGCAGAAGCTCTTCCCACAGTGGCTGCACCAGTAAGGCTTCTCCCCAGTATGAATCCGGTGATGCTTGTTGAAGTTGGAGCTGTGGTTGAAGGCTTTCCCACACTCCTTGCACTTGTAGGGCTTCTCGCCCGTATGCAGGCGCTGGTGCGAGCTGAGGCCTGCGTGCTGACTAAAGCTCTTCCCGCACTCATTACACTGATAGGGTTTCTCACCAGTGTGGATGCGGTAGTGGCGGATGAGGCTGCCTTTCCCACTGAAGGCCTTGCCGCAATCTTTGCACTGATAGGGTGCCTCCTCTGTGTGCATCCTCTGGTGTTTCAGGAGGTCTGAGCTCTGCCCAAAGGCTTTCCCACACTTACAGTCATAAGGCCTGTCCACCAAGTGCGTTCTGTAATGCAGGGTAAGGTTGGAGCTGTGGCTAAAAGCCTTTCCACATTTGGTGCACACGTATGGTTTCTCCCCAGTGTGCGTTCTGCGGTGTTTGGTAAGGTTGGAACTATTACTAAAGGCCTTTCCGCACTCGGCACAGATGTAGCGTCTTGCCCCAGGG